TTCTGGGGTGTCTTGGATTTCTAATTGACCATCCTTATTGAGATAAGTGAGAGGGAGTCTTGAAGAGGTGAGGGCATGTGCTATGGGTTCCATTTCCCACCATTGGAAAGAGTGGAAACTATTACGTTTTTTTCTCTCGAAGTGACACTCCATCTGAGTTATGCTGTGTTTTTTTGGCGAATTTTGACACACCAAGCTCAAAAGGTTGCCCATCACTGCCTTAGAACAAGTGGAAAGACCCATGTTTTTGACTCCAGCAGTCTAGGGCTAATGAAAACAACCATTTCTGGGAGGCCACACTTTCTGTTATCAATTTAAACTCTCTGAAATGAAACAGCAGTGACATTAGTATCCTTTAGTCCAGGCTTTTAAGAGTTTCTTAGTCATTGTGGCAAGATAAAAATAAAGTTTCTTTTCTTGGTGTGGACTCACATAAATAATTGGGGAAGAGCTATCAGAAATGAGCTAAGGATAAAAAAAACTAACATCTTCTACTGAGATAGTTCTATCTTGGAACTTTTCTAACTCATGGATTGACAAACTTAGTATAATTTTGGTTTTATGTAAGTTTTTCAAATTTAGCATAACTTCCCTGTCATTCAAACAAATTTGGGCAGGGGAAGAAATAATATTTTAAGATTGCCTTTGGGTTCAGTTCGGGATGGTGTTTCAGCCTTTCCAAGCCCTCATCATTGGTTTGGTACCAGGCTTCGATTCTCTTTGAAGCAGGTAGTATCGATGATGGAGTCTTCCAAGATGCCTGGATCACGTCCAGGAGGTATGGAAGAAAGGGAAGCAAGGTTGCGAGGGGAGCCTCCAACTGGACACTCTTAAACACGGGGTCAGTGGCCACCTTAGAGGTCTGTTTAATCTCGAGTCCTAAAGTCTCAGCCATACGGACGATCTGGTCGGAAAAGGCACAGACATCGGTCGGAGACAGAGGATCCACCTCATAGGCATCTGGGTTTGGTGACATGCTGAGCCCTAAAGAGAGGACGGAATCTACGGAGTTGAGCCCCAAAGAGAGGATGGAGTCTATGCCATCATTTTCTTGAGCCTCTTCCTCGGTAGCATGAGGAGATGGTGAACAGGCAGTAGGAGAAGGAGGAGATGGAGGGTGAACAGACGATCTTGGAGAAGATGGCGACGGTGGTTGTTTGGAGGCTGACAATTGGGCTGCCCTGGCTAGGTGAGTCATCTGGCAGCCTCTCTCCGGCGTCGAGGTTGGCAGCAAAAGTTCTTGTCAAGCCGGCGGATCAGGAGGCTGGACTTGGTGGAGAGGAGCTCTGACCACCGTCTGTGCTGAGTGAACTGGAAAATCTTGGAGCTCTCTGTCTGATAACTGGTGGGGTGGAGAGTCTGGAGGAGGCCTGGGAAGCTGAGCCAGGGGAAGAGAATGAGCGGCCCGATGAAGCAGCCGAAGACTATGGCAGGCCTCTCTTCGAGGAAGATGATGAAGAAGAGAGGGGCCCTCTTCTTGGCCAGAGATTTTGTGTTCTCCGGAGGAGCAAGAGATTTTGTGTTCCCCGGGGAGGGAGAAGCAGCAGCAGTCAGGAGGCTTGTTGTCACGCCTTTCATGAGTAGTCAGCCTCTCCCCTCCCAATAGCCCTATTGCATCAACACTATAAGAAGGTTTTGCAAGACTAGTCACTCTCATTGCAATGGTGTAGTAATGGTGAGGCTGTGGACCATATTTTAGTTCTTGGGGACCACTGGTAGTCCATGGACCACAGGTTGAACCACTGCTCTTGAGAATTCCACTTCACTTCCTTTCCTGTAGCCTTTAAAACATTTAGCAGAACACACACTTCAGGGACTTCTTACTGATCTTGTTCCATCCCATACATTATTTTAGTGGATGTTTTTATTACAGGCTTGTAATCCATATAGAGAGGACTTATTAAAGAAGTAGGATAAAAACATAGCTACAGAGCCAAATGAAAATGATTTCCAACACTCAAACGGAACAATTCTGCCCTCCTTTCATTCTAAGACACAGAAGGTTTCCAGACAGAAGCCATACAAATCTGATCACAGTCCCTAGTTTACTTCTTCAATATAAACACTGTTGGCTCCCATACTTTGTACTTGAATTGCACACTCATGCCCTCCTATCATCCCTTTTAACAGAAATAATTTCACATAACTAGACAAGCTCAAATACATGGATTTATTCCTAAACGTAAACAATCCTGTAGAAGTAGAGCTTCAGGTTCAAGCACATCTTTATTATAAAAATATATAGAAAATGGGTTATTTATTTAACATTTTAAATCATGGCATTTGTTAAAAACCACAAAATAAACCACTGCTTGTTAATTTATACCAAAGCATTTACTGCTTAGACCAGTAGTTGCACCAGTTAATCTGAGTAGTAGCAGTGGACCACGCAGTCAGCTATGGAAAGTTGCTCATAGCAAAAGGGGGCATAGAGTATTTTGCCAACTTTCAATTCTCAGGGTTAAAATTAAGATGATTTCAGGACAACGGGCAAGAACGACACACTTTTCTGTTATTTTTATCAAGTAATCCAATTGTTCATTTTCTGTCAGGATGTGGCCTTCGAGTTAAGTCAACATAGCTGAACCGAATTCTCCTTCCTCGAAGCCTCCTTCTTGACATTGAAGTGAATTATGATTTAATAAGGGGCCATCTGGTTGAAGGGAATGCTTTGTTTCTGGGAGAAAGGAATGTAGCCACAACTTGAGATAAGAGGGGGAGGAAGGAGGGGGAAACAGGAGGGACATATTGCTAGCTGTTTAGCGGGAAGATCTTCAGATCTATCTTCCTTCTCATCCTGTTCAGACTGAATAATAAACCCGTGTTCAAGAAGTTACTCTTGTGAGCGTGGTTCTGTTCTGAGATCTGCCAGGAACTGACATTTTCTTGCATTGAAAATGGTTAACTGTTTTGGTCCATTTGACACAAGAATGCCTTAGAGTTCTTCAGCAAACTGTGAAATACATAGATTTTGTACAATTGTTTGAGTCCATATGTAGGTTTACTGAGATGCCATGTAGAAACCCATGTTAAACCTCCCATTTCCTCCAGGCAGTTAGACATACAACACAGTGAGACTTCAACTCTCCAACCAAACTGGCCAATGGAAAGTCACAATGAGAATTGCAGTTCAACACGTGAGGGACCAGAGCTATCATACCTCTGGGCTATACCATCATTTACCTTGCTGCACAGTATATTCAGAGCGCTATTACACTAAGTGTCTGCTTAAATAGGAAAGGAATGAGCTTCCTCATTTCTTGAACACTAAGGACAAAAGAGGTGCAGTACATACGAGGGGTATTTTTTAAGTAAGGTCCGTAGTTCGCGTGCACACCGCAACAAGCGCATGCGTCGTGTAGCAGCATGCCTCGGGAACAACTGTGCTGTTTCCGCTCTGTAGCTAACCTGTACGGTTCTGTTCTGTGCTTTAAAAATGTTTAAGACTATCAACTCACCCTCCGCATGTGAGGTTCGCTCAGTGATACGGTTTTTGTCAGCAAAGAACCTGCCTGTTGCAGAAATTCATTGACAGATTTGTGAAGTATACGGTGATACTGTTATGAGTGAAAGCAAAGTGCGTAAGTGGGTACGACAATTCAAAGATGGCCGTGACAACGTCCATGATGAGGAACGCTCCGGTCGCCCTTCTTTGATTACAGACGATTTGGTGGCTTCAGTTGAAGTGAGCGAACCGCACATGCGGAGGGTGAGTTGATAGTCTTAAACATTTCTAAAGCACAGAACAGAACCGTACAGGTTAGCTACAGAGCGGAAACTGAGCACAGTTGTTCCCGAGGCATGCCAGTACACGATGCACGCTCGTTGCGGTATGCACGCAAACTACTAGTGTCTACAACAAAACGGACCTTACTTTAAAAATACCCCTTGTATTGCAAGGGTTTCCACCTGATATACAACTGAATCATGAAGGTTTTCATTTTAGGTGTCACAAAATGGAAACATTCCTTGTTAGAGAGAAGTCAAGGCAATTTGCATCCAAAAGCTTTCATTCTCCATTGTTAGAACATACAAAATGAACTCTGCAGCCAGCAGCCAAATAAAGCATCAACATGGCATGCCCCAGACATTAGCTTCAAGTTGTATTTAAGCAATAAAAAGAAGAAGAAAGCATGCTTGTATCTCAAAAGCTGCTTATCTGTACTAGAAAGAAAAACACTGCATTGTGCAATGCAAGATTCTGGTGACAGATCTCCTACAGCTTGAATTAGTTGGGAAGACTGACAAGAGCAGCTTTTACAACTGCAGCAAAGGGGGAAGCTCCTCTGTTGATATTCTTTGCTGAAATCCAATTACGCATTCCAATTAGAGTAAATCCATTGAATCGCTAGGATTTACTAAGTATAATGATTATCAATTTAATCAAAGGATTTACTCGAGTTAGGTATAGGAACTAGATTTAGACCGCAGTGTCTATGTATCTACTGCATGACTGCTTCACCCACTGATGAAAACTCAAAATTCCCAAGAAGCTAAGTGCAACACAGTGTACTTCCTTTCATAATGAAACCAACTGTGGGAATATGACATGGGACAAATCACATGCATTCTCTGCACTGAATTTTTTTCATTCTAAATTTTTTGCCATTCTTTGCTCATTCAAGCTGCATAGGCTAGCAGTTGCAGAAAGAAGTTTTCCTTACTGATGTTATCCTAGCCAAGACTGGAAGTGGGTGAGGGGAGATTATAAGTTGGCAGATCAATAGCAGTATATCTAACCGTGCCACATTTTATGAGGTATGTACACAGCATACACCCCATGCTCAGAGCAGATGTGAAAGACATGATAGTGAAGTGCCTTACATTATGCTTCTCTTTACTATCAACCAGTTAATCCACATATGCAGGTTTAAGTTACTGTCTGGATCTCACTCCATTCTCTGAGTCTGGCCATGACACCACAGCTGGCAATAGTCTGATCCCCAGGATAGATTTACTGTGGGAGGTGCTCCCTTTAAAACTCATGAAAGTGCCTCATGTTCCTGTAAAGTAGTTTAATTTTTCAAATACTGTACAAAAAGAGCAGAGAAAAATATTTCAATGACAATCAGTGCTGTGGCCAAGAACAGAAGGTTGATCTGCTGCTATTAAAAAAACCCAGCAACATGTATTCCATAGTTGTTCCTTACTAACAAAAGCAGCAGATCTGAGATGAGACAATTCTTTGCTTTTTTGTTGCCTCAGTGGCCACCATCCTTTAAAATCAGATTACCAAAGTACTAGCAAAGTATATCCTAAAATCTCAGAAAATCACTCCCACAGTGGCTCCCCCACATCATCATAAGTCAATGTGGTGCAATTAATTTTTTTCAGCACAGCTTAACAATGCAGAGCTGTTATTGGCTGGCAGCAATATTGCATGTCTTGTATAAGTAACTTTAAATGTGCCAATGTCATCAAGAAGCTGTTCTTCCACTGGTAGTCAATCTCCAGCTATCTCCTATGCCCTTCCTACATTCAGCTGAGAACCTAAACCTGTCCTCAAAAAGCCAGTATTTTCTACTATGTCTGAAACAAGAGAAGAACTCACTATGCATGTATTTCATACAACCATTTTCTATTTCTTGGACTTCTGAAGATCGCTGTGTTCACCACTGAGCTACATCTCCATTCTACCAACCCACTGCAATAACTTCACACATTGCACTTATATGTACTCCATTCTTGTGACAAGCTACATACAGACAAATAGTTCCTGCCTGCTACAACACTGAAAGCAGATCATTAAGTAGAATATTGTGCTTCTCCAGGTGGGCAAGCATGGATCTTTCTTCAGCCCATTCTAGTTTTTGTCTAGGAGGGCAAGATAACAGAGGAACACTACTAGCTCCCAGACGTCTCCAGCAGCATTTGTCCAGTCTTTCCAACTTGAAATCTGTTTAAAAGAGTAGTGGTGTTCTTTCCCCTGCAGGTTGCTCTTTTTGGAAGAAGTCCTTGATATGGGACAGCTTACTCTGGATCCTCTCTCTCAAGGGAGGGACGTGGTGACTGGGATCCAGGATGTTTGTCACCCTGCGCTCCCTTTCACGCTTCCAGAGTCGGTAGGGGTGTGGGGGGAAAGGTGCTTCACGTCTCTCTCGGCGCAGCTGTACCGTTATCCCTCCAATGGCTAACATTGCCCAAACCGCCAGGAGGATGAGGTCTACAAGGCAAAGAAATCATTCAGTCAACCAGTTCACCGAATTAGCCCTAGCTCTAGTTCCCTGCTAACTGCAAATCTATCCCCCCAGCTAAGTTCCTTCCAAAATGATTTCCCGGCTGCCTAATGCAGCAAACAACCAACTCAAGGCATTTCAAGGAAGTGGCAAAGGGATGTGAATCGGTGTACTGGGACTAGGCAGAAAACAGGATTTGTATTTCTCCAGCAGACAATGATTGAGATCTTACATGGCAGCACATAGTTTCAGAGTTAATATACAAGAGGTATTTTTTAAGTAAGGTCCGTTTTGTTGTAGACACTAGTAGTTCGCGTGCATACCACAACGAGCGCATGCGTTGTGTACCGGCATGCCTCGGGAACAACTGTGCTCAGTTTCCGCTCTGTAGCTAACCTGTACGGTTCTGTTCTGTGCTTTAACAATGTTTAAGACTATAAAAAATGTTTAAGACTATCGCTCAGTGATACGGTTTTTGTCAGCAAGGAACCTGCCTGCTGCAGAAATTAATCGACAGATTTGTGAAGTGTACGGTGATACTGTTATGAGTGAAAGCAAAGTGCGTAAGTGGGTATGACAATTCAAAGATGGCCATGACAATGTCCATGATGAGAACCACTCCGGTCCCCCTTCTTTGATTACAGATGATTTGGTGGCTTCAGCAGGCGGCAAGTTTTTATGAAGAGGGTATTTTAAAATTGATTCAGAGGTATGATAAGTGGTTGAACAAATTTGGCAACTATGTCGAAAAATAGAGTGAAGTATGTACTTTCTGAAAATAAATTTACTTTTTTGAAATAAACTTTCGTTGTGTACTTATGTTCCAAAGGACCTTACTTAAAAAATACCCCTCATAGATCTCTGCTTTAACTCCCCTCAGGACTCACTGTGTGGTTTCAATAGTGCTCCCTCCCAAGGGCCATTTTGGGGATGGTGGAAAATGGGGGAGAATTGGAGAAGTATCTGGCTAAGTTCCCATAGCCAGAAGCAGACATCTTCCACGAAGATCTGCCAGCAGATTATGTTATTGATCTTCCTTTTTGCTCTGTTGAGCTGACAAGGTGAGTCCAAGGGGCAGGGGGGAGCCCTGGTTCTTGCAAAGGGAAGAAAAGAATACCAACCTCTGCAATGATCAAGTACCTATGCAAGTGAAAGATGGGATTATATGAGGGGTATTTTTTAAGTAAGGTCCGTTTTGTTTTAGACACTAGTAGTTCACGCGCAAACCACAATGAGCGCGTGCGTCGTGTACCGGCATGCCTCGGAAACAACTGTGCTCAGTTTCCGCTCTGTAGCTAACCTGTACGGTTCTGTTCTGGGCTTTAACAATGTTTAAGACTATCAACTCACCCGCCGCATGTGAGGTTCGCTCAGTGATATGGTTTTTGTCAGCAAGGAACCTGCCTGCTGCAGAAATTCATCGACAGATTTGTGAAGTGTATGGTGATACTGTTATGAGTGAAAGCAAAGTGCGTAAGTGGGTACGACAATTCAAAGATGGCCGTCACAACGTCCATGATGAGGAACGCTCCAGTCGCCCTTCTTTGATTACAGACGATGTGGTTATTGGAGCAGGCGGCAAGTTTTTATGAAGAGGGTATTTTAAAATTGGTTCAGAGGTATGATAAGTGTTTGAACAAACTTGGCAACTATGTCGAAAAATAGAGTGAGGTATGTACTTTCTGAAAATAAATTAACTTTTTTGAAATAAACTTTCGTTGTGTACTTATGTTCCAACGGACCTTACTTAAAAAATACCCCTCGTATTCGTGCACTTGACTAACACGATGCTGGCCACTACTTGAGCATTTCCAGCCAGTAAAAAGGAACACGGCAGTCCTTTTTTTCTTAGGGCAGGATGCTAAGGAAGCATCAGTAAAATTGTTCACATCTTTCCTTGGAATGCTCAGTGTAGCTTCCAACTCAAAGTATTGCTCACTACAATCCATCAGGCAAAATAACCAGTTTGTTCTCAGTTTCCACTTGCCTAATAAACTTACAGTAATGTGCATATTTCCCTCCAGCGGTTTCTATGGAAAGCCTCTAATTAAGAAACCAAAGCCTCCCAATCACATTAATAATACTTTTGCTCAAGACGTACCATTTGGCTGAAAGGGCACACTGGTGTAAGCTCTGCGAAAGTCATCATTTAGAATCCTTCGAAGCAGATCTATGCCAATGTAAGACAGACTTGCATATATGTAACAGGCTGTAGCCAGAACTATGGTGTAAGATCCTATTAGGCCACATGTTAGGATGTTGAGCTGAAGAGGAAAATCAGATCATGAACAATTCTGGTTTTATTGAATTAAGTGCCATCATTATTAGGCAGCTATCTGTATGGACTTGCTTGGACAGCATGCATCCTCTAGGTTCTTTGTGCTCCCCTGTCCCTGGGCCATTTTCTTTAATTTCCCAGAAAGCCACCACATTAGCATTAATTTCTTTAAAAACTAATTTGTATTTAATTTCCTGCTTTTCAGGTTTGCTGCCAAATTCTAGAAGCATGACAGGGTCTACAGTGTATGGTGAGTCCCAGTGAAGGTTACTGGTTCCCAGGCCTGCAAAAGTTCTCAAAGTAGAAAGACATTGTCAAAGCATGTCAACTGTGTTAAGAAGTTACAATACATGCACCTACTTCCAAATCTTTCCTAGCTACACCATTTGTAACAGTACATGTTCATCTACGAACCCACACGTTCACTTCGGTCATCTGGAGAGGCCCTGCTCATGATCCCACCGGCGTCGCAAGCGCGCTTGGTGGGGACGCAGGAGAGGGCCTTTTCCGTGGTGGCCCCCCGACTCTGGAACACCCTCCCCAAAGACCTTAGACAGGCCCCTACATTGGCTGTCTTCAGAAAGAAGATGCGCCTTCCCAGATTAGGAAATCTCCACTACCAAGTCCCATAAGCACTTTATCAGAACCAATGATATCGCACATTGCACTTGCCCTGGAAGCAATATATACACCTCCTGTCACATCAGCACTTTTAATCTTGTACCCATTGCTCTGGCCCGGCCCAGTTTTATTGTGTTTAGTGTATTGTGCCTGTTGTTTATTTTGCTTTATTCTGTTTTTAATTGTTTGATTTGCTTAGATTGTATTGTTGTGTTGTGTGTTGAGGCCTCGGCCTGTGTAAGCCGCATCGAATCCTTCGGGAGATGCTAGCGGGGTACAAATAAAGTTTAATAATAATAATAATAATAATAATAATAATAATAAGAGGGAAATTGCAAGAATATGGAAGGTGCAAGAGTGGATCCAGTGAAGCAAAGAGAAAACAAAGATATGCTTTATCCAAAGTGATCCCCCAAGGATTTTATTTCATTAGCAACATAAACTACTCCTCTACCGGGTTGTTGTAGGTTTTTCCGGACTATATGGCCAAGTTCTAGAGGCATTTTCTCCTGACGTTTCGCCTGCATCTATGGCAAGCATCCTCAGAGGTAGTGAGGTCTGTTGGAAGTAGGAAATAGGGGTTTATATATCTGTGGAATGACCACGGTAGGACAAAGGACTCTTGTCTGCTGGAGCTAGGTGTGAATGTTTCAACTGACCACCTTGATTAGCATTTAATGGCTTGGAAGTGCCTGGGGAATCTTTTGTTGAGAGGTGATTTGATGTGCCTGATTGTTTACTCTCTGTTGTTTTGCTGTTGTAATTTTTGAGTTTTTTAATACTGGTAGCCAGATTTTGTTCATTTTCATGGTTTCTTCCTTTCTGTTGAAATTGTCCACATGCTTGTGGATTTCAATGGCTTCTCTGTGTCGTCTGACATAAAGCCTTGGCAGACCGTGCAAAAAGAATCTGCGAACCCCACCTCCTCCAAGATGAACTGAACCACCTCAACTGGGCTCTACAGGCCAATGGATACTCCACCTCAGACATCAGAAGAGCTGCAAGACCAAGAACAAGCCACGAGAGGACAAAGATCCACCCAGAGGAAAAGTGTTCCTGCCATACATCAAGGGAACCACTGACCACATAGGGAAGCTGATGAGGAAACACAACATACAAACATACAGACCCACCAAGAAAATCCAACAAATGCTACGTTCAGCAAAGGACAAGAGGGATCCTCTCACCTCGGCAGGAGTCTACCGTGTACCATGCAGCTGTGGACAAGTCTACATAGGGACCACCAAAGCAGCATTGCCCAAACACGAATCAAGGAACATGAAAGGCACTGCAGACTACTTCAACCAGAGAAGTCAGCCATAGCAGAGCACCTGATGAACCAACCTGGACACAGATTAGAGTCCTTTGTCTCACCCTAGTCATGCCACAGATATATAAATCCTTTTTCCTAGTTCCAACAGACTTCACTACCTCTGGGGATGCTTGCCATAGATGCAGGCGTAATGTCAGGAGAAAATGCCTCTAGAACATGGCCATATAGCCCGGAAAAACCTACAACAACCCAGTGAAAGCTTTCGACAATACATACTCCTCTACCATCAGGTATCCAAGTCTCAGTGAACAATCAACATGATGCTAAATTAAATACAAAGCAAAGATGAGAATAGGGAAGGAAAAGGGCAAAACCTGAATATATCTTGATTTCATAGATTAAAAGCTTGCTGAATACATAAAGAACCACTTGGCTCCTATAATTACAAAGGCAATATCCTGGTAGATTTGTAAAGATTTTTCACCTCAGAACATGCTAGTGTTGTTTTGGAATTCCCCCAACCAGTGACCACATGTGCAGATGTAAAATTTCTATAAATACTGACAGAGCTGGCCATGATGGTTCAATGATTCTGGGAAGTGAGGTCTAAAAGGGTGACACTCAAGTTCTCTTGATATACCTAACCGCTTGTGCAAATGAATGTGCAAGCAATGCTTTTTCAGTGGAGGCCCCATAATTCTTCTCAGTCTCAATAGTCCTTATGTCTCAAGTGAAAGGGGCCTTGCTAAGGGCCTCCCACGAATGGAGTATGGACAGGGTAAATGATATTAGCAAACTCAGATAAAAGTAATTCGGCCTCAATGTTCTATCTACTACTTCTATGAGGCGTTTAGCTGAACATACTTACAACTCTGGGGCAGCCAACAAACACGATGGGGACCATCAAAGCAATGCAAGAGAAAGTGACCCAGAATACAGCATCATCCTGGAAAACTTTGTAGTTTCCTGTGAAGGTAGTATCAGGTTCATAACGTAAGTAGTAATCTGGTTTAAAACCCAGTTTATTTTATTTATTTATTTATTTATTTATTTATTTGACTTGTATACCGCTACTCCCAATTTGGCTCAGAGCGGTTTACTGCAGTAGATTAAAACAATACAATTAACTTTAAAATACAATAAAACAAGAACAGACATAGTCCCGAGTTATTCACCCATTGAAAGCTTGTCAAAAGAGAAAGGTTTTACAGCTTTCCGCAAAGCAAGTAGGTCTCGGATAGATCGGGTTTCAACTGGCAAGGCATTCCATAAATAAGGGGCTACAATCGAGAAGGCTCTCTGCCTAGTAGAGGAGAGATGATAAGTCCGGATGTTGGGGACTTCAAGCAAATTTTGGTCTTCGGACCGAAGTAATCTCTGGGGTTGGTAGGGGGATAAGCGGGCCCTCAGGTATGCCGGCCCCAGACCATATAGGGCCTTAAAGGTTAGTACCAGCACCTTGAAAGTAATCTGGTACTCAATCGGTAGGCAGTGCAGCTGTTGTAGAACTGGGGTGATACGACACCTCGCTGGCACCCCGGCAAGAAGACGAGCCGCCGCATTCTGCACCAGCTTCAGTTTCCAGATCACTGACAAAGGAAGGCCAATGTAGAGGGCATTACAGTAGTCAAGCCTCGAGATGACCGTCGCCTGGATCACCGTAGCCAGGTCATTCCCTACCTATCTAGGGAGCCAGTCACCTAGCCTGACGTAGATGGAAAAACGCAGATCTGCTGACAGCAGAGACCTGGGCCTCCATTGTGAGCAGAGGGTCCAATAAGACACCAAGACTCTTTACAGAAGGTGACGGACGTAGTGTCTCGCCATCCAGGGTAGGCAGCTGGATCTCCCTCCCACCCGGGCGGCCCAGCCAAAGGATCTCCATCTTTGCTGGGTTCACCCTCAACCTGCTGGCACGCAACCATCCAGTAACGGCCTCAGGGCAGTGATGGAAGTTTTCGGGTACAGAGTCCGGCCGGCCCTCCATCCTCAGAATGAGCTGAGTGTCATCAGCATACTGGTGGCACTCAAGCACAAAGCTCCGCACCAGTCGGGCAAGTGGTCGCATATAGATGTTAAATAATAGAGGAGAGAGAATAGCTCCCTGCGGGACCCCACAAGTTAGCGGAGATCTCTCTGAAACCATCCCTCCCCTCACCACACCATCCCTCCCCTCACCATTCTGGAGGAAGGAGGACACCCATTTAAGGGCTATCCCCCTAACCCCAGTCATGGCTAGGCGGTGGGTCAAAAGATTGTGATCGACCATATCAAATGCTGCTGTGAGGTCCAATAACACAAGCAGCACTGATCCGCCTTGATCCATCTGGCAGCGAAGCTGATCTGTGATGGCAACTAGCATAGTCTCTGTCCCGTGCCCCCCCCCCCCCGTGCATTAAAACCAAATGCAGTCTTTGATGCTCCTAGGATAATAGCCAGTTCCTTGCATCTGTAGAAAGGAATAGAATTTAAAAAGAAACTACTGGAGAACAAGCCAATTGGGCACATTGCCTGAAAGATTTCCTAAAGTCAGCTGGACCTAGAAGTGTAAATGCTGACCTCATTTGCCTTCTCATGGTGAACAGTAAAATACCAACATTCTTTTCCTTACTGTAAATCACTAAAGACAGCAGGCTTTTGATTTTCTTTCTTTCTTTTTTTTTTTTGGGGGGGGGGGCGGGGTCTGAGAAGTTATCTGCGTTTTCAGAGCTTTTTGAGAAATGTGAAGTACAGGAAAAGGAGGCAATTCTTGATTTGTTGGATGAATTAGCAAAAACAGTTGCACTGTCTTCTCATGTTTGGTATAAAATATTGTGTATCCCTTAACCGCAATGCTAAAGACTAGGAGTGTTTTGGATTTGGGGTGGGGGGTGGGGATTCCTGAGTACCTGTATTTGCACATAGATACATACATACATACATGCACACATACATACATACTGAGATTTCTTGGAAATGAAATTCACATCAAAACACAAAAATCATTTGTGTTCCATATACATTTCATACACACAGCTTGAAGATAATTGTATACAATACTTAAAAATACAGTATATTCTGGCGTATAAGACTACTTTTTAACCCAAGAAAATCTTCTCAAAAGTCAGGGGTCGTCTTTTACGCGGGTGTAGTCTTATGCATGGGAGTCGTCTTAACTCTATATTTTAACTGGAAAAGTTGGGGGTCGTCTTATACGCCCAGTCGTCTTACATGCCGGAATATACGGTAATTATGTGCATGAAACAGTCGCTATCTCAGCCAATTTCAGATTTGGAAATTCTGGATAATGGTTGCTCAACCTGTGTGTATTTTTAAATTTACAGCAGGAAAATCTACTAGTTTTGCAGAGAAAGAAGGACTTTTTTCACAAAGTACACTTTGTGGAAATTGCAAAAATCAGAAAGAAAAATAAATAGCATCTTGATCTGGAACAAGAGATGAGATCTCTTGAGGAGATTTGTGCAATTGTGTTATATTAAGACATTCAGATTCCTGTAAGATCTATAAAATCATAAGATTTATAGCTATGTCTTTCACATCCAAGGCTTAGAAAATCCTTGGGGATAAAGACACTCACATCAATTTTGATGCAAATCTACTTGAAGCCTGAGAAATTTTGTGGTGCCATTTATTTTGAACTAGCAACTGTAACCACATGCCTGTAAAACACGACAGAAGATGCTCTCATAGAATCAAAGAGTTGGAAGAGACCTCATGGGCCATCCAGTCCAACCCTCTGCCAAGAAGCAGGAATACTACATTCAAATCACCCCTGACAGATGGCCATCCAGCCTCTGTTTAAAAGCTTCCAAAGAAGGAGCCTCCACCACACTCCAGGGCAGAGAGTTCCATTGCTGAACAGCTCTCACAGTCAGGAAGTTCTTCCTCATGTTCAGATGGAATCTCCTCTCTTGTAGTTTGAAGCCATTGTTCCGCGTCCTAGTCTCCAAGGAAGCAGAAAACAAGCTTGCTCCCTCCTCCCTGTGGCTTCCTCTCACATATTTATACATGGCTATCATATCTCCTCTCAGCCGTCTCTTCTTCAGGCTAAATATGCCCAGCTCTTTAAGCCGCTCCTCATAGGGCTTGTTCTCCAGACCCTTGATCATTTTAGTCGCCCTCCTCTGCACACATTCCAGCTTGTCAATATCTCTCTTGAACTGTGGTGACCATTCTCCACTTGAATGTAACTCGTTTTGCTTTCAGCAAGGTGACAAGCAGAGCCTCTATTAAACCCTGACATTTAATTCTCATTGATCGGAAAGGTTTATTAAGCAACAGCAGAAATATTTACAAAGAGCAACAAAGAAATTCACAGGCATTAGGAGGTTGTGACATACCTATAGGGGTGAAGAAAACTGTGGATGCAACAAGGAATCCCAGCACTAATCCCACAACAAACATGCAGAGGATCACAAATCCAAAGCGCCACCAGTAGGCTACCAAGAGGAGACCTCCAATAACTCCAGCTACTGCAGTAAGGCCAAGATTGACTAAAAAGGCAGCAAGGAAAAAGAAGAAAAAAGGGAGGGTTACAACAGCAACAAAATTACAAGGATACATTTCTCCCATGCAGCCCATTCTTGTAAGGCTGTATTTCAATATTTCCCTTTTTAAACTAAACTCTATAGAGTATGTTTCTAGGAAGGCAACCATGTTTGCCTTGTGCACTAAAGGTATAGTGAGTGTTTAAAATTACAGTGCATTTACTAATGGCTAATTAAGAGAACTTTTTTCTGCAAATTCTATAAACCCACATGTTTCTGAAAATGTAATTGTAAGGGTAATGGAGTTCCTGCTTTCCCAGTCAGCTGCATCCCATGTCGAGTGACATTTTTACCCAGCAAAGTGGTGTGGCATCAGCCAGCACAGTGAATGGCTTTAATGATTGAAACATTTTTCTCTGATCATTTGCTCCTGAGATTGCCTGTAGTTTCCACATAAGCCAGAAAGGAGCAATGCACTTTCCGAGCCATTGAGAAGACTAATTTAGACGTGAGGCATTTTGGGTTGTTGTAGGGTTTTTTGGGCTGTATGGCCATGGTCTAAAGCAGGGGTCCTCAAACTTTCTAAACAGAGGGCCAGGTCACAGTCCCTCAAACTGTTGGAGGGCCGGATTAGAATTTGAAAAAAACATAAATGAATTCCTATGCAAACTGCAAATATCTTATTTGTAGCGCAAAAAACCCACTTAAAAACAATACAATTATTAAAATGAAGAACAGTCTTAACAAATATAAATTTATTAGTATTTCAGTGGGAAGTGTCGGCCTGCTTTTGGCTGATGAGATAGGGTTGTTGTTGTGTGCTTTCAAGTCATTTCAGACTTAGGTTGACCCTGAGCAAGGGCCGGGTAAATGACCTTGGAGGGCCGTATCCGGCCCCCGGGCCTTAGTTTGAGGACCATGTTCTAGAGGCATTCTCTCCTGATGTTTCACCTGCATCAATGGCAAGCATCCTCAGAGGTAGTGAGGTCTGTTGGAACTAGGAAAATGGGTTTATATATCTGTGGAATGACCAGGGTGGGACAAAGGACTCTTGTCTGCTGGAGCTAGGTGTGAATGTTTCAATTGACCACCTTGATTAGCATACAATGGCTTGACTGTGCCTGGAGCAAACTTTTGTTGAGAGGTATGTCCCTGTCTGCTTCCTCCCTGTTGTTGTGCTGTTGCAATTTTAGAGTTTTTTTAATACTGGTAGCCAGATTTTGTTAATTTTCATGGTTTCCTCCTTTCTGTTGAAATTGTCCACATGCTTGTGGATTTCAATGGCTTCTCTGTGTAGTCTGACATGGTGGTTGTGAGAGTGGTCCAGCATTTCTGTGTTCTCAAATAATATGCTGTGTCCAGGTTGGTTCATCAGGTGCTCTGCTATAGCTGACTTCTCTGGTTGAAGTAGTCTGCAGTGCCTTTCATGTTCCTTGATTCGTGTTTGGGCAATGCTGCATTTGGTGGTCCCTATGTAGACTTGTCCACAGCTCAACAGAAAGGAGGAAACCATGAAAATGAACAAAATCTGGCTACCAGTATTAAAAAACTCTAAAATTGCAACAGAACAACAACAGAGAGGAAGCAGGCAGGGACATCTAATTACCTCTCAACAAAAGTTTGCTCCAGGCACAGTCAGGCCATTGTATGCTAATCAAGGTGGTCAGTTGAAACATTCACACCTAGCTCCAGCAGACAAGGGTCCTTTTTCTCACCCTGGTCATTCCACAGATATATAAACCCTTTTTTCCTAGTTCCAACAGACCTCACTACCTCTGAGGATGCTTGCCATAGATGCAGGCGAAATGTCAGGAGAGAATGCCTCTAGACCATGGCCATACAGCCCGAAAAATCCTACAACAACCCAGTGATTCCGGCCATGAAAGCCTTCGACAATACAGTGAGACATTTTGTTTTCAAAGGAACCATGCCAAAGCCACAGCCCTATTATATTCTTGACTTACCATCATAATTAAGAGCTGCTGTTCTAGTAATGGCTATGAAGAAACAGAAAGCTGAGACAATAAAACCCATGAAGAATAAACCTAGGAGGGGAAAGTTAGACATCTCTATTAAAAACAGTGTTTCTCCTCCAGAAATAATAAAATGCAAATGTGAATATTTAAAAGATTGGCCATTTAGTTTCAAAGGGCTGGGCGTGATTAGCACCCAATCAAACTTTGTCATGGCTATAGAGGTTTTTCCATAGCCAGAGGGGTAAAACTCCAAATCCAATAAAATCTGCTATGTCCTTTCGTGAGGCTATGACTGGAAAGGAACATGTCACATGGCATACTTTTGAAGCAAGAGAATAATAATAATAATAATAATAATAATAATAATAATAATGCTTTATTTGTACCCCGCTACCATCTCCCCAAGGGACTCGGTGCGGCTTACATGAGGCCGAGCCCAAACACAACAATACAAGCAATAATCACAACAATACAAGCAATTAAAAATAAAACATAGACGATAACATATAACACTATCAATAAGACAACCTACAATTAAAACCGTGGGAAGGCCAAATGTAAAAATTAAAATTGGAAATAGTGCTGAGGCATGAATGAAAAGGTGATAGTGGTGTTTGTGGAAGACATACGAGCAGACCTAAAAATATAAAGTGCTTTGGAGGGACAAAGTGCTATGGGATCATTATTCCGGGAAGGCACACTGGAACAACCACGTCTTCAAGCTCCTCCTGAAGACTGCCAGGGTAGGGGCCTGCCTGATGTCCTTAGGGAGTGAGTTCCAGAGTCGAGGGGCCACCACAGAAAAGGCCCTCTCTCTTGTCCCCACCAGTCACGCCTGCGAAGGTGGTGGGATCGAGAGCAGGGCCTCTCCAGATGATCGAAGGGATCGTGTGGGTTCGTATACAGAGATGCGGTCACGAAGGTAGGCGGGTCCCAAACCGTTCAGGGCTTTGAAGGTAAGAACCTGCACCTTGAATTGGATCCAGTAGATGAATGGCAGCCAGTGGAGCTCCTTCAACAGGAGGGATGATCGCTCCCTGTAAGGAGCCCCAGTTAACAACCTGGCTGCCACCCGTTGGATCATCTGAAATTTCCGGACTGTAGCTATTGTAAAACACTGATCTAACCAATAAACCCTACTGCCTGTTTTGGCTTGCAACTACTTGATAGTATTTTGAATCACAGACAGGGAAGGGAGAAAGCAATCTACTATAACTGTATAAAAACCTTAAATAAAAACATTTTTTTCAGTGGATGCTCCCAGACTTTGGAACTTCCTCCCAAGAGGGACCAGGATGGCTCTCTTCCCTATTTGCCTCCTGCAAGCAGCTAAAGACATTCCTGTGCCATTAGGCACTGGTGGGGGGGGGGGGGGGATAAGGGGCATGCTGCAGGGGAGATTGTGGGTGGGAGTTGGGGAGTATAATTAGTTTAAAATGTAATATTACTTGTATTTAATTGCATTTATTTTATAACTTTATATCCACTAACAAATATTTACTGTTTTTTTCATTTTTTTCACTTGTCTTATTTTATATTTTTACTAGCTTGGGGACCCGGCAGTGCCAAGGTTATTTTAGAAAGTCATCGTTTGTCTGTGCTCCAAGTTTAGTCTACACACAATGTCAGCTGGGTTAAGTATGTACGGGTGAACTACAACTCCGATATGCAAGTCACATTGTCCATGATCCACCCTCCTTATGATTTATACCCTCCAAGGTGTTTTGGACTTCAACTCCCACCATTCCTGACAGCCTCAGGCCCTTTCTCAGCCGCCTAAGAATGTTAGAATGTTGAGGCTTGCCAATCAGAAACCATATGCAAATTATACCACAGTGGTCAGTGGGTGCCCAAGTGTTTTAAAGTACTACAAATACCATAATCCATGGTCCACCACCCCAAAACCGCACTAGGAAGTAAAGTGGGTCATGGGGGTTATGTGTGCCAAATTTGGTCCAGGTTCGTTACCTGTGCACGTCACAGTGGCCTGTGAAAGTGGCAGCCAATCAGAACGCTGCCACATACATACACCTCCCTCCGCATACAAACATTCTCTTTCATTATATAGATATATATAGACTACCCATCCCCTGCCACGCGTTGCTGTGGCGTTGCTGTGGCCCAGTCTGCGTATATGTGTTTTGTGTGTGTATGTGTATATGTGTGTATATGTATATTTATGTGGTTATGCATAAATATACACATGTGGTACAGTGGCACAGTGGATTACCATTGCTTTAAGCTATAAAAGCTATAAAAGCTATAAAAGCTATAAAAACGTGATGCCACAATCTTCTAAAACTCAATAATATGACTCATTGGCTAAATTGTCTTTCAAGATCACAGCTAGGTAAGTTCAAAAACCTATTTCGCACTTTCTCTCACATACCTGTTTTCCAGAATCTGTGTCCAAAGAAACAGACAAAAAAGCCAAGGATGGCAAGTGCAGTGAAAAATATTTTGGTAGAAAGTTTTCCTACAGATGGAAACAGAAAAAAAATGAGCACTACATTTCATAATTATCTAAAAAGCAGAGATCCAATAAGCAACAAAGATACAGCTTCAGACCATAATAATCCATGTACAGAAGAGATTTGGGAAAGTGTTTCTAAAAGGATAGAGTAACATTTGAATAGACTGTCTTTCTAAATGTTCCTCAAGTTGAAGAAAGAAAAAAGAGAAACCCCCAATTAAAAACACAGATACACCATTTCACGCCTCCATATGAACACTACATTAAACAATTATTTCAATATTTCTAGGTGCTACTTACCTGAGGAAGAATTTGTCTTTATATTATAAACTAGCTGTACCCACCACGTGTTGCTGTGGCCAATCTTCCCTCCCTCTTTCTCTCCTTCCTTCCCTCTTTCCTTCCTTTCATCTTTTTCTTTCCCTATCTCTCATCTTTCTTCCATCTCTACCTGTTTCTTTCCTCCTTTTCTTTGCTCTTTGATTACATCCTTCCTTCCTTCCCTATCTTTTCTTCCTTCTCTCCTTCCTTCCTTCCCTCTCTTTTTCCTTTCTCTTTTTTATTTCCTTCTCTCCTTCCTTGCTTCTCTATCTTTCTTTCTTTCCTTCTTTACCTCCCTGCTTCTCTCCTTCCTACTTTCCCTTTTTCCCTCCTTCTCTCGTTTCTTCTTGACTGTCCCTTCCATTTAATATTGTATTTATATCTTAGAAAGAAGGACAGGAAGAAGGAGGGACAGAAAGGGAGGGAGGGAGGAAGGAAGGAAGGAGGAAGGAAGGAGGGGGTGAAGAAAGGAGGGAGGGAAGGAAATGAAGGGGAAGGAAATGAAGAAAGGGAAAGAAGGAGGAAAGGGAGGGAGAGGGAGGAAGGAAAAGAAGGAAAGGCAGAAGGAAGGAGGGACAGGAAGGAAGGAAAAAGGAAGGGAGGGAAGAAGGGAAGGAAGGAAAAAAAGAAAGAGGGACAGGAAGGGAGGGAGGGAGAAAGGAGAAGGAAGGAAGGAGGAAGGAAGGAGGGAAAGAAAGGAGGGGGTGAAGAAAGGAGGGAGGGAAGGAAATGAAGGGGAAGGAAATGAAGCAAGGGAAAGAAGGGGGAAAGGGAGGGTGGGAGGAAAAGAAGGAAAGGAAGAAGGAAGGACAGGAAGGAAGGGAAGGAGGGAAAGGAAGGAAGGAAGGAAGGAAGGCAGGAAGGAAGGAAGGAAGGAAGGAAGGAAGGAAGGAAGGAAGGAAGGAAGGAAGGAAGGGAGGAAAGAAGGGAAGGGAGGGAGAGAAGGAAGGTCCTTCATTCAAGCACCGTGGACCTTCCTCGCCTCCTCCCCCGCCTCCTCCTCCCCTTCTTCCTTGCGTGGATGCTCCGTTGCTGTTGCTGCTGCCGTTGCTGCTGCACGAGACAAGTATAGGGCAATTAAAAACAATTGTAACCTAAGTCATTAAACATCCGTATAACAATCATTAGCGCCTCAACAGTAAAATCAGAATCCAGTCTCATCATCCATTATTCTGTATTCCTATGTTCAATTACATTGCTTAATCAAATGCTTGTTCGAACAGCCAGGTCTTCACTTTCCTCCGAAACGCCAGCAGGGAGGGGGCCAATCTGATATCTACAGGCAGGGCATTCCACAGCCGAGGGCCACCACTGAGAAGGCCCTGTCTCTCGTCCCCGCCAAGCGCGCCTGTGATGCAGAGACAGAGAGCAGGGCCTCCCCAGGTGATCTTAGTGTTCTAGCCGGTTCATAGGAGGAGAGGTAAGTAGGGCCAGAACCATTTAGGGCTTTATAGGCTAACGCCAGCACTTTGAATTGTGCCCGGTAGCAAATTGGCAGCCAGTGGAGCTGGCGCAACAGAGGAGTAGCATGCTCCCTGAGTGCCGCTCCTGTTAACAACCTGGCTGCCAAACGCTGGACCATTTGAAGCTTCCGAGCAGTCTTCAAAGGCAATCCCACATAGAGAGTGTTGCAGTAGTCTATGCAGGATGTAACCAGAACGTGGACTACCGTGGCCAAGTCAGACTTCCCAAGGTACGGACGCAGCTGGCGCACAAGTTTTAACTGTGCGAATGCTCCCCTGGTCACCGCTGAAACCTGGGGTTCCAGGCTCAGCGACGAGTCCAAGATCACACCCAAGCTGCGAACCTGCGTCTTCAGGGGGAGTGTATTATTATTATTATTATTATTATTATTATTATTATTAAGGCTGCAGATTGTTCTGTTCAGTCAGGATAATGGGATTTGAATTCTCCATCCATGGATTCAACACCCCTTTGAAGGCAACCATAAGGTTGATGTGGCCCTCAATGAAAATGACTTTGACACACCTGCCCTGTAGTGTAATGGTATTCTAGCACAACACAAAATTATTTTTGTGTGTGTGTTCTCCTGTTCCTTGTAAGAAATGCTAATTTTAGGTTCTGCTAACACAATCATCCAGAACTTTCTTCAGGGAAGAGAACTATTAAGATGGTATCATGTGAAACAGCTCTATTCTCCAAAGAGCCCATTAGAAATAAACATTATTTAGAGGAACCTGGAGAATACATACACCCACACACACACACCCATTTGACTTACTGAGAGTGAAGCAACTATCCACCAAGGCAGAATGGCTGCATGCATATGTATGAACTGGTACATAGGCAGCTGAGGTGTTCCACTGTGGATCTGTCACAATGACATTGTAGATCACTCCTTGTCCAGGGAGGGATGAGAAGTGCAAGTCAGTTTTGTCTTGGCTAGTTAAGGTCATCAACTGTGGAGAACACATGCAAATGTGTGAAAGAAATAGGGTGGCATGCACGTTCTATCTTATCCCATAGGTAAAGGTAAAGGTAGTCCCCTGACATTAAGTCCAGTCATGTCTGACTCTGGGGTGTGGTGCTCATCTCCATTTCTAAGCCGAAGAGCCAGCGTTGTCCGTAGACATCTCCAAGGTCATGTGGCCGGCATGACTGCATGGAGCGCCGTTACCTTCCCGCCGGAGCGGTACCTATTGATCTACTCACATTTGCATGTTTTCGAACTGCTAGGTTGGCAGAAGCTAGGGCTGACAGCGGAAGCTCACGCTGCTCCCCGGAATCGAACCTGCGACCTTTCGATCAACAAGCTCAGCAGCTCAGTGCTTTAACCCACTGCACCACCGGGGGCCCATATTACCCCATATCTCTTGTTTAAAGATAAAAATACAGTTTCCTCTGAAAATGCTGGATTATGTAGTAAAATACTGAACAAAAACCCTAAGACAAATTACAAGGCACATTAGAAGCATACTAAAAATCATACATAAAAACACCATTATTTAGAAGCCCACTATACAGGATTTAGGTCCAAACCCTATTGTCAGTCCCTGCTAGAACAGAGTCACAAAATCAATTGGATTTACCTATGTGATTCAAGCACACATTTTGCTGCCTCAAATGTTGGCCCCATTTCAGGGTACATTTGTCCTGCCGATTCCAAAAATGGCACCAGTTTTTGTCTATCAGCTCTAGTTTTTGAGATACAAATATATGCTCTCCTCACCCTTAACAGACCAAGATTATTTAAATCTAGTGCTTAAATTCATATCTTTTAAGCATAAAAGAGAAGCCCCTGGTGGCACAACGGGTTAAACCCTCATGCCAGCAGGACTGAAGACCGATAGGTCGGAGGTTCGCATCTGAGGAGAGTGCAGATGAGCTCCCTCTGTCAGCTCCAGCTCCCCATGCGGGGACATGAGAGAAGCCTCCCACAAGGATGGTAAAACATCAAACGTCTGGGCATCCCCTGGGCAACATCCTTGCAGACGGCCAATTCTCTCACACCAGAAGTGACTTGCGGTTTCTCAAGTCGCTCCTGACACTAAAAAAAGCATAAAAGAAACATATTAAAAATTAAATGAAAAGTGTACTACTTATTTCGTATTAAAAGCATAGATAGATGATATAAATTTTCCAGTCATTCAACACACCTATCTAAGAAACTAGAGCTGATGCAGTCTCTCCAATGTTCTGAATCAGCGCCCCAAATAACCCCAGGAACAGGCCTAAAGACCAACAACACCAAGATAATTTTTTGTTGAGCTTTGTAATTGTTTAAATAGCATACTCTACTTGGGAATTTTTAATAGGAATCCAGTCAAGAATATACTTATTTAAACTTATTTAATCTTTAATATGTCAAAAAATATGCTACTTACTTTAACACCATTAGCTTTGATATTTTGCACTTGAGACATCTTCCTCATGTGACTCACAAATGCAGTTTCTGACAAATCATTTTCTGGTAGGAAGTACTGGTAGACATCATAGCGTAGCCGCGACCGAGACTCCCGATTGGTCACAGAATCACACAATGGGGGTTTTGCATCTCTGAAATATAACAGACAGAATAGTCACTTGAAATGACTCAACTTTGCTTTATTAGCTTGGATATTTTAATAGCCATTGATGTTGCTCTGCAATCACTGTAGAGCCATTCAATATATAATTCTCTTATCCTGACTTAAAATTTAGGTGTCATATTAAGTTAACTGGGAAATTTGTAAGTGGAAAAGAATAGATTTTTCTTATCTATTTACTATAGATCCTTTAATACAGAGATCTTCTCATAGTTTTCAGTTCAGTTCAGCTCCCAGTAGCAGAATTCATACTATTGCCATTGTCATTTAGAACTTTTCCCCCCAAAATCCTCAGCCTTGTTTGCATTTTGGAATATGTGGTCAAGTCTATCAATACTAGAACCCTTAGCCAAGTATATAGATCATTTTTACAAGCCTTTGTTCCGCAGGCCAAATCATACATCAAAGACACCTCACAGTTTATTAACATTATAGAATCTTTAAATGTACCAGAACAATCTACTCTTCTGACATTAGATGAAGCCAGAACTATTATCAAAGACTTATTAAAACACCAGAGAATCAACAGTACCACCAACACATTTCTTACTTGATCTGCTGGACATCATATTGGAAAATAATTACTTTAAGTTTGGGTCTCAATTTTATTTACAGATTTTTGGAGTAGCTATGGGTAGCCACCTGGCACCCTCAGTGGTGAATCTGTTTGTATCTCATCTAAAAACCAAATTTATATTCAATCATAATCAAAATCAATTTTTATCAAACATGGTATACTATGAGAGATTTATAAAAGATATATTTACAGTATTTAGATCTAATACAGCAGCCTCTCAATTCAGCACATGGGTCAATTCCATACATAATCACATTAAATTTACAAGCGTAATCAACCACAACAAGATTAAGTTTTTAGATGTATTGGTGCACCTTCAAAAGGGAAACTATATGTTAGTAACTACACTAAATCTACAGACAAGAACTCGATTTTACATTATAATAGCTTTCATTATCATTCACTTAAGTCTAACTTACCCTAACTTCTGAGACTCAAACGCAACACCAGCAATCAAAAAGAATTTGATACAGTAGCATGCACCTTTAAAAATAAACTCAAAGAAAGAGGGTGCCCAGAAAAGATATTAGATATGGCTGTCAGAAAGACACACCTAATGAGTAGGAGTGAGTTATTAAAGGAACACCCCAAAAACCAAAATAAACAAATCATTTGGCCCCTAACATTGACATCATATACCTCTAGTACACAGAAAATCTTATTTAAACATTGGCATTTAGTACAGGACATTGCAGGTTGTCAAAAAGTATCCACCGTAGCTCACAAGAGATCTAAGAACTTGAGAGACATGATCCATTCGGATCTTATAACATTGTGCACAGACAACAACAAAAATCAAGGGAAACTTTTCATGCAGACACCATGACTGCTGCTGTCAAACTTCAAATACAAAGTATTTCATACATTCTACTCGGAATATCAAAGTCATGTTAAAGAATTACACAACATGCTCCTCTGAAAACATATTATAAGTAATCCAATGTCCCTGCAACCTACTGTACCCTAGTATGACAACCAGGTTCTTAAAAACCAGAATGTATGATCACCATTCCCGGAATAAGAATGGAAGCACTGCCTCTACCCTATACATTCACTTCAGGAGAATTCTTTTATCAGAAGACTCAGCGTTTCTCTTGAGTTTTTCTTCTACGGATATCTATGGCAAGGTAAAGGCCCCCCCCCCCCCCCCTCTTTACCGGATGGTCCATTCCCTCTACAAACAAGAAACGTAGACAAGAGATTTTACTTTTTTATATTTTTACCCTTATTTTACTCTTATTCTGGCTGCAGTTTTTAATCACTGACGAGTCTTATTGGCTCTCTCTCTCTTAATTTGTAATGGGAAAAAGGAAGAGAGATCAGCCTCCCACAGGCAAACAGAATGGCAAACCAAGCAAATTGCTAAAGAATGGAGAGGTTTCTCCAAAGGAGGACTCTATATCTGACCTTCTTTGTAAAAATAAGTATGAGTTGCTTCAAGACAACTCAGCCGATAGCTGCCTTGAGGTGATAACTGAAGACAAGGGGAAAATAGATGCTGATAGTAGCATTGTGATTAGCCCCATGGAGCATAAGGAGTCAATATCTGTTTACGAACTGTTTGCTAAACCAATTTTCTTACCTCTGGACACTCTAAGCTTGATATGTTCCAAGCTAGGATGTATTCAAAAGAAATTAGAACGTACTGATTTTAATTCTGCTGAATTTCTGAATCCCACAACTTAAAGAACACCAAGAAGAAACACATAAGACACATAAGACACAGCCTGTAATTAGGCAAGACCAATTATCTAGACAACACTCAATTGTAAACAAAAGAAAGGATTACAGAACCTCGCCATTCTGAAACAAAACATCTTAATTTCAATCCTTGTCAATTAGAATTTTGTATTTCACCAAACTCCATAAACTGGAACAGATGGGGTAACAAAAATCATGTACTCTACTCTCGTAAGTCTTTTGTTAAACACTCCAATAAGACAGATACATCTCCATTCATTGATCTGGCTCCCAAAAATAAAGTTCCATAAAAGATTTATTGCAGTTTTTACCAGTCCTCTAATCCCACAGATGTTACTCTCGATGTGTTCACATTTCATCATAAATTTGGAATTTTCATAAACAGAGTGTTCGAGGAGACTGGAACAAGGCCTCTTATTGGAAATCACATACCAAAAAAAAATGGGCCAATTCCCAGCATCATAAACTGCCCCCTAAGTCTCAGATAAATTCAGTCATATCCTCCTAAACATTTTAATTGGAATCTTATAGATCTTGTGTAAGTACTGTAGATACATACCTTCCATGTCCCAAATTTGCTGGGGCAAATTTAATGTTTGTCTCAGCCATATTATACTCTAAATAAATATTGGGGTCAACGTCCAAATTAAATTCCAGGTTGCAGCCTCCAGGGATGGGGTCTAGACAAAAAAAAAAGGCCAACAACTTGAGTAAGATAGATTATGATATGTGTGAAAGTAAAATAGAAGCTTTGGTAACAAGATATAATTCAGTAACAGAGTTATATGCAGGTAATAAAAGCCTGATACTAGCTTTCTAAAAAATGAGATTCTCTACAATAATTTATTACTGATTCTCATTTTAGTAACTTTTTGGAAGACAAATTTAACACGTTTCAAACTTTGAAACAACATAAATATGTAGCCCAAGAATCCAGTCTGCAAGCAAACTGCTAGGGACGGCAAAACATTTGTTTCATTAAAAATCATAACTCATTTATCATCCATCACATTCTTTTTGAAAAAATGTAATGCTTTCATTACTGGGTAAAAGGTATAAAGGTTTCCCTTGACATTAAGTCCAGTCATGTCCGACTCTGGAGGGTGCTGCTCATCTCCATTTCTGAGGACATCTCTATTATTCGTAGATGCCTCGAAGGTCATGTAGCCAGTATGACTGCATGGAGCACCGTTATGTTCCCGCTGAAGCGGTACCTATTGATCTCATATTTGCATGTTTTTGAACTGCTAGATTACCAGATTTGAACCGCTGACCTTTCGGTCAGCAAGTTCAGCAGCTCAGCAGTTTAACCCAGTGCGCCAACGGGGCCTCCTTACTAGATAGCCTTACAGAAAACTAAGAGAAATTTCACTTGTGACTGAAAGAAAGAAAAAAAAGTTTAAAGGATTACCTCTTTCAGTATAAGAGTAAGGGACAGCTGTACTCAACACAGAATTAGCATTCACAGCTTGCAAATACCATGTACACACAGTCTGTTGAGGTTGAAGGATAGATACCAGTCCTATATCTGGTCCAGTTCCTGAGTTAGTTATGGAAGATTTCTGGGAATCACAACAGATTAATAGGCAGCTGTAAAAACTGTTCTGCAAATGATACAACCATAGATTTACTCAGGTACTCCTCACTGAATTCAAGATCTCTAGGATTGCAGTCTATGTTGATTTATGTGCATGTTCTGTGCATGACATACACTGCAGGTTTTGGGAATGAAACTCCATTTTTAAAGTGTTTTCCCTAACCACAAAACCCTTTCCACAGCTATAAAAACTTGGAACTGAAAGGCACATTGGTGTTTCTTGAAATATAATTTCAGGTAATTTTTTGAGCCACAGTTTAATCACATAAGTATTCACTATTCTTCAAGAGAACATTTTATATCCTTTCAAGCCAGTTTTATTCCAATAATGAGGCTAGCAGACAACAGTTTGATTTTCAGTAAGTCTAAGTTTACTGAAATATCTTGTGATAGGAAATGACAGCTAAGATTCAAACAAACATTCCTCATGCTGTAGTGGAAAAACAGCAGCTTTGTTTGCACTAATGCTTTCTCCCCCTTCCCCCTTCCTTATCTCTTCCTCTCTCCTTACCACCACATAGCGTGTGCGCAAATGGTTTTAGTGAGGGGTTGGAAAGATAAAACAAAATGGGTTGTTGTAGGTTTTTCCGGGCTATATGGTCATGTTCTGAAGGCAATTTTTGCCTCCAGAACATGGCCACATAGCCCGGAAAAACCTACAACAACCCAGTGATCCCAGCCATGAAAGCCTTCGACAATACATAAAACAAAATGGACTTCCCTCCCTATGGATATTAGATCAGCCCCCTCCCTCCTGACCTTCTGTAAGAAAGTAAAAACATGGCCTTTTGATCAAGCCTTTGGAGATCTTGTGCAATACATAAATATGGAATTATGCGGAATTGACTATTGGAATAGCCCAGACTATGACCATGGATAATGTGGTTAACAGTGATGGCATTGTTTTATATGTTTAAATGTTTTAATATATTTTATAATTCTATTTAAATGTTTATTTTAACTGTACATTGTTTTCAAAGGCATCGAATAGTTGTCTAAATGTAAGCCACCTTGAGTCCCCTCCAGGGTGAAGAAAGGAAGGGTAGAAATATTGTAAATAAATAAATATTCTAGACAATGTTACAAAACTAAAACTTGTTATTGACTAAGACTTACAAGCTATCCTTTACTTTATTTTATCTTAGAACAGATAAAGCAGTGCAAACAAATAATAAAGTGTTCCTAACCAAGGCAAACTGCAATTGTGGAAAAGGCCCAATATAAGCTTTCGGTTGACGATAGAACCATGAGTGCAAAGGTCCCAGGAATGTTTAACTCTGCCTGAATGCAGGACCTCTTGTGAATCCTCCATATGCCAACTGGAGGTTCATAATGGAATTAATGTAATGAATAGATCAAAGTACTAAACAAAAAAAAATGGGACATGGAAGTTTACTGTGTTTTGGGAATATAGCTTACATTTTTGTATCAATCATCTTAAGCTCTATTCATATTATTACCATATATACTCGACTATAAACTGGGTTTTTCAGCCCTTTTTAAAGGATGAAAAAGCCCCCTTCGGCCTATACTTGAGTCAATGTTATTTCTTATTTTACTGGCTATTTTTATTACATTTATGATTTTACTCTTATTATTATTATTATTATTATTTACCTTACTCTATTATTTGTATTACATGTATTATTTTACTATATTATTACTATTACATTAATTATTTTACTCTATTATTATTACATTATTATTTTACTCTATTATTATTTTGTACACTTCAAGATTTGTACACAGCAAACAATATCACTATGCTGGCTTATGTATTTGATCACACATCAGACACAGGCCCGTAGCCAGGATTTCGTTTCGGGGGGGGGGGGGGGGGGAATTTTTTCAGGGGGGGTTTCGGGGGGGGCTGAGTTTGGGGTCTGAGTGAAAGAGGGTCTAGCCTAGCAAACCTTTTGTATCATTACCCCACTACCCCCATGCATATGGGATATATTGAGAATGGTGATCAAATCATCTATATATATAAATTTCTTCCTAGCGTCGTATGAGGAAACAAAACTCAAAAAACCCCCAACGAAACTCCACCAAACTTCCCATGCCCCAAGGGCAACCAACAAGGTACAAACTAATCCACTCAGAAATCATAAACACACAACAACAACCACAATAAACTGCAAAGCAACTGAGCATGCGCACTGGCGCAAACTCCCTGGCGCGCGCACACACATTGGGAACACATTCATTTAGAAGATTTCTATACCGGCCTTCTCAACCTCGGCGAGGGACTCAGGTCGGGTGCTTCCCGCATGAGGAAGAGGAGCAATGCTGAGGAAGGAGGCAGGGGCGCACTGACAACAGGGGGAAAGGCATGAAAAAGATGGGGGAGAATCCCAATCCACCCACACACCATCCTTAGGCCATTTAGCACCATAACACAGAAAGCTGCCATAAGGAGGCAACCACAGAGGGGAAAGATGGAGACAGTTAGTTGGAGAGTAGAGATGGGTTCACAGCAGGCATGGGAGGGGGGGTACACGCGCGCTCGCACACACAGGACAACTCCATGTGGCAACAGCCTGGAGTCAGCCTTGGCTCTCTCCCTCCTCCTTCTCTCCCTTCCTTCTCTCTTCCCCCATTTTCTCCCTTCATGCCTTTCTTGCCTCCTCTCCTCCCTCCCTTTTCCCCTCATCCTTCCCCTCTTTCCTTCTCTCTTTCCTCTTTCCTTTCCTTTCCTCCTTCCCTTCTTCCTCAATCTTCAGCTCCCCCCTTGGGTGCCGCCATCAAGGGCCTCCAGTAAGCCCCGCCCCTAATACAGCAGAGTGTGCTGGGGACGAAAGGGAAGGAAGGAAAGAAAGGAAGGAAAGGAAAGAAGGAAGGAAGGAAGGAAGGAAGGAAGGAAGGAGGGTGAGCCCAGTTCAGTTCCAGGTGAGCTGGACATCCCAGCAGCTCCCAAGGTCAAATTTCCACCAGAATTCACCTTTGGGCATATTGAGGATTCCTCCCAAGTTTGGTCCCGATCCATCTTTGTTTGGGTTCACAGTGCTCTCCGGATGAACAATTTCTCCTCCTCCTCCTCCTCCTCATTCTCTCATCCACACCAACGCCCCCTTCCCTCCCTCCACCCTTTCCTTCCTTTCTGTACTTCCCTTCCTTCTCCTTCCTTTAATTCTTTCCCTTCCCTTCCTTCCCTCCTTCCTCCCTCCCTTGCTCCTTCCTCCCTTTATCCCTTCCCTTCCTTCTTTTCTTTCCTTCCCTTTTCTCCCCCACCCCCCTCACCAGCTTCATCCTTCTTTATTAAATCTACACTTAGATCCACTCAAAGTCACCCCTTCCACACTGCCATGTAAAATCCAGATTATCTACTTAGGACTGGATTCTATGGCAGTGTAGACACACACACACACAGATATGGATGGATACAGGATCACTGGTTGGTGGTATATATCTATATTCTGTCTATCTCTCTATCTCTATGTATATACATATATACATATATATAATTACAATACTATATATATTACTATTATATATATTGCTATATAATACATACATATTATATTATATATATTACTGTTATATCTATTACTATATAATATGTTACTACTATATATTACTATATTAAATAGACTCCTAGAATAGAGTTAGAAGGGACTCTACCAGACAGGAGAGAAGTAGGGAGGGAAGGAAGGAAGGAAAGAAAGAGGGACCGAAGGAAGGAAGGAAGAAGATAAAGTAGAAATGAAAGGAAAGGCAGGAAAGAGGTAAAGAAGGAAGGAAGGGAAAAGGAAATAAAAAGTGAAAGAAGCAAGAAAACAGTGTAGGAAGACATGAGACGAAGAAGTAGAGAAAGGACGAGGGAAGGAAGGAAAGAGAGGAGGAAGGATGAAACCAAAGAATGACATAAGGAATGAAAGAAAGAGGTAGAGAAGGAAGAAAGGAGAGAAAGGGGAAGGGGAAGAAAAAGAGGGGAAGGAATAGGTAGGTACCTCTCTTTCATAATAGTCCAGATATCTACCTCTACTTCGAAAATTCTTACTATAGGCCACAGCAACGCGTGGCAGGGTACAGCTAGTGATATTAATAAACATAACAATTTAAATAATGCACCAGTAAGGCCTTTTCGCGAACCACCATGAGAATTTCGGGGGGGGGCTGAAGCCCCCCGAGCCCCCCCCCCCCGGCTACATGCCTGGTCAGACACTTCCCAAGTGTCTAGGACTGTGTGATGTATCGGTGAATAATGCATGCAGATCCAAATAGGGTGATATTTTGCAGCTTTTAGATGGTAATTTTGTCAGTGCCGATTGTTTTTGAGTGCAGAACAAGGTCTTTAAACACTGCACCCAGTGTGCCAATCACCACTGGGACCACCTTTACTGGCTTTTGCCAGAGTCTTTGCAGTTCTATCACTGAAAACTCCTGTGGCTTTTGAAGTTGTTTTCCTTCCAGATGCCCTACAGGTCCATGCCCTGGTTGCTCAGCAGTGGGTCCTGGTTCCTGTAGCCCAGTGGTTCTCAACCAGGGGTCCCCAGATGTTTTTGGCCTTCAACTCCCAGAAATCCTAACAGCTGGTAAACTGGCTGGGATTTCTGGAAGTTGTAGGCCAGAAACATCTGGGGACCCCAGGTTGAGAACCACTGCTGTAGCCCATTTGTCGACAGGTGCCCAGGAGAAGCATTCGCTGCAGTTCTTATTATCCTGGGCGACAACCGAGCCAGTATAAGACCTCTTTAGGGTTTGTTTCACCATATTTAAATGGGCTTATTTATCTATAAATAAATAAATTTATTATTATTGCATTTAGTATTTTACTCTATTTATTATTGTTATTATTCACTTATTATTTTATTCTATTATTAGTACATTTATTATTCCACTCTATTTATTATTACATTTATTATTTAACTCTATTTATTATTATTTTTATTACATTCATTATTTTACTCTATTTTTATTGCATTTATTATTTTACTCTCTTTATTATTGGAAGGATATGTAAGCACATTTACACTGAAGAAGGTTAGAATACTGGTTTAATCAGAGTTGGACAGACTTATCTTAAATTATAGCTTTATGTAAATATTCAAAAACATTTAACCTACTCATGTCTCAATTAATGTAATTTTATTTGTATCTATTTTTATTTTGAAATTTACCAGTAGCTGCTGCATTTCCCACTCTCGGCTTATACTCAAGTCAATACGTTTTCCCAGTTTTTTGTGGTAAAATTAGGTGCCTTGGCTTATATTAGGATTGGCTTTACTCAAGTATATATGGTATTTTGCAGTTTGTGCAAATCAAATATCCTTTTCATATGTGTCCGTTTGAGGTCTCCCTATAGAATTCAAGACAATCCGGGTTCACAAGCCTAGGAACAATCCAAAAAATTGTCATCTAGTCTTTCTATCCAGATTACAGATAGATTCTTCGGAGATGTTTCAGAAAGAAATGAACCATAAAGTATGTCAGAGTGTATGCTACTTTTTAAGTAGATATGGTATAAGGGTTTGGGGTGGGGGTTGATTGTGCATGAACTCAAGGCTTCTATACCACTTACCAAGGGGAAAACATCGTTATAAAGAAGACTTGTACTAGTGAAAAGCAACTCAAAGAAAAATAATTGTACTGTATTTTATCTATATGTAAAACAGTCTTGGTGCTAAATTAACATTAGCAAGTAGATTTGAAATACCTTGTCGAAAGAAATGGTCACATTCTGATGGTGGGTATGGATCTGAAATATTATGACAGTCACATTGCTGGAAATATTCTTCAACACGGCTTCAGCTGGAATGGTTTCATTCAGCAATACATTCTTAAATTTGCCCAAAGAAAACTCAAGAAGGCCTGTGTTAAAAGGAAACAACTATTGGTTATAAATCAGCTTTCTTACGTAAGTAAAAAAAAAAAAAACACATAGGTATAACGTGAAGTTTAACCTAAGATGAGAACAATTCTTATATACTGCACAGTAGTCAGTACTGTACAGTAGTCATTTGTTTCATTCATTTCATTCAGGTATTCGTTTCATACTGTCAATTCGGAAGACACGAAACAAAAATACCATTTTTGGATGAAATGAAAGGTGGCACAAAAAAGAAAGCTTCATGGTCACCGTTGCTTGCTTTCCAAGGGAGTTCTTCAAGATGTGTCAGGTGGAAGTGTTTCAGCCAATCAGGGCCCAAGAAGACTGTGACGTGGCCAGGGTATTTAAGGGGGCGACCACCCTACAGCTCCCATTGCGGTTGAATCCTCTGCTGCTATTGGGCTGGCTTCTCTCTCTGCTTTTGCCTTGCCTTGCTGCTAGTGGGGAAAGATTTGTATTATTTTGGTTTGCCACAGCTTGGTTGTATTAGGATCAACTTATAGGATCGGTGCTGCCGGTGGCATTTGCTTGTCTTGCCTTGTTGGGGAAAGGTTTTTATTTATTAATTTTTTGCCACAGCATGGTTGCTTGGCACCTTTTTAAATTTTTATTCGAAGGGAAGAGGCTGGGATTTTTGATGGGGGTGGGTGGGTGGGTTTGGCTGGGGAGCTCGCGTGTAGGATGGGGGAATGTCAGGTTTTACAATGTATTGTAATGTAATATAGCTGAGTCATGCACTGCTAATGGGCTTCTACTGGAAATGCTGAGTCATGCATTAACTGTATATAGGGAATCATTTGGGGAATGTGTTCTGGCCTAGTCCAGGTGATTGTGAATGATGTAATCCTGGGTCTGAGTTAAGTTAATGAGTTGGGAACCAATCAGAGATTGCTATGTGTAATTGTATAGAATTGTATATAAGGAAGTCATGTACAGTGTATTCTCTCTCCTTGTGCTGTGATGTTGTTCGTCGAAGGCTATATGTAATTGATTAAAAGAACCTGTCTGCTAAGACAAGATATAACTGTATGCTGTGGTAAGTTTGTAATATCATCTAGACTGGGGGAAAGGCAATGGTAAACCTGACAATGGCCAGGCATATGCTCAAGTGTCTGTAAAAGAGTTCCAGAGTGACTGCAGTTTGTGGGAGCAGTTGACTGAAAATACTGTGCAGGAAGAAGCTACTGGAAAGCGCTGAAGTTGTGCAACTGATCTGTTGCTGAATTGTGAAATTAATCTTAACAGGGAAAGAAGGGGATTTCTACCTTTGCTTTACTTTAATATTTTAAATTCTTTCAATCTTTGTTTAAAACTGCCCTTTTTCTCCTGCCTATTATGTTTGATAAAAAAATCATTTTTCAAAGGAAAGGAATTGTTGGGAGTTCCTTCTCACTCTTTATTATTAACTGGCTCTTGGAAAATCTCCTATTTCATTTCACCCTATCTCTCTGTATAGCCTAGCTTTGGTCCTCCCTCTCCTTTGGGTTGTTATAGAGAACAAATAGAATATAATAAATATTATTTCTTATTGAATAAATATATTTTTGAAGGCAAAGACATTTTGGGCTTCTGTTGTGCAATACCACATTAAAAACGGCTCTCTAATCAATCGTTCAGTTTTTATAACTGGGCTTTGGGGAAACTACATTTCCTTTTCCCCTCTAGTACCTTTGCATTTCCTTTGTGCATTATTTATTTTATTTATTTATTTCGAGCGCTTATACCCCGCCCTTCTCAACCTCCTAGGGGGGACTCAGGGCAGCTTACAAAAGGCACAATTCTATGCCTAACAGTTCATAAAATACAATATACAAAATACAATATAACAACAACAACTATAACTAGTTAAAACAATCCAATTAATACAATACAATACAATCTTGTGGTCAATGTTCGCCAATTCATAAATCCACAGTCCATCCTGCATTATCATAGTCCTTTCCTACTCTGGTCGTCATTGTCCTTTATCCATCTGCCAGCTTACCCAAAGGTCTGGTCCCATAACCAGGTTTTTAACTTCCTTCTGAAAGAGAGAAGGGATGTTGATGACCTAATTTCCCCAGGGAGTGAATTCCACAGGCGAGGGGCCACCACCGAGAAGGCCCTGTCCCTCGTCCCCACCAGTCTCACTTGTGATAAAGGTGGGGGCGAGAGCAGAGCCTCCCCAGAGGATCTTAAACTCCGAGGTGGGACGTAGAAGGAAATATGTTCGGACAAGTACGCTGAGCCATTCTTTTCCCCTTCTAGTCTCTTCTACCTTAGAACAGGAAGCAGCCAGCCACTCTTTGTGTTAGTGTTGGGTTAAGGAAGGGCGGCACAGTGAGCTTGGTCACTGGGAAAACTACATTTCCTTTTTCCCTGTAGTACTATCTTTGTATTTCCTTCTTTCTAATCCAAACCGTTTGTGCATTCTCTTCCCCTCTCTTCTATCACAGGGTCAGACTTCCAAAGAATATAGAGTCACACGGAACTTGGTCCTGGAGCTAGAACTGTCAGCATTTTGTCTTAAAGGATAAAAATAATAGCATCCCAATACTGTTTGATGTGGAAATTCAAATTACATATTATCTGTAAAGTCTGTCTTGGGAAATATGAGTTCTTCTAGCTGTAGTGGTGCTGCAGATGTCTCTGGATCAAGAACTGCCCGTGTCCAACATTCTTCAAGGGCACGCGGAGAGGAAAAGAAGGTGCAACATCTTCTGCATCCTTTGGTACTCCAGAAACACAAGAAGAAAGACCCCTGACTCCACAAAAGCTTCAAAGGACAATCAGTTTTGATTTGGATAGTGCACATTTAGATATTACACTTCCCATGGAGGAATTTGGGGAAGACAGCGAAGAACTTTCACCATTAGTAAGTCCACGTTACTACGGATTTTCAACAGTGGACGACTCTCCGGAAATTGAGCAAGGGGGGGGGGTTGGTGGTGGTGGTGGAGGAGGAAAGGCAGAGGAGGCAGAGGTGGAGGGGGAGAGAGGATAAAGAAAAGGAGAAAATTGAGGAAGATGTGGTGTTTGTTCAGGAGGTGGTGGAGGAGGAGAAAGTGGAGATGTTGATGCCTACAGTGGAGGACGGGGGAAATGCATTCCATGCCCCCCCCCCGTGACATCATCTCAACAACTGCCGCCTCCCAGACAAGTACTGTTGCCCCAAAACAGCAACATCAGGCATCGCTCCTCAGTTTAGGATCACTTTGGAACTGATCCAGACGGTTCAAGTGGCAATGTGTTGGCACTGTAATGACAAAGTCAGCCGTGGTAAGGATGTCAGGCACCTCTCTATCAGTGGCTTGATACACCACAACATGAAGCAACACCCTATGCAGCGTGGCTTTAGCAACGGCAGAAGTACTACCAGTTCCCCTGTTGTTGAGACTGTGAGGGGAAGGAGCCAGTCCACCCTTGAGAAGTGCAGCACATCCAGGGTCAGTGTGACAAAAGGGCAGAAGCCACCCACAGGCAGTGAGATGACCGCGTGGATAGGAGAATTGATGGCTCTGGACGATGAGGCCTTCCACGTGTTTGAGAATGTAGGGTTTTGCCGCTTCCTCAGCCACGTGGCTCCCCACTACAAAATCCCCTCCCATACTACATTTTCCCGCATGGTCATTCCTTCCATGTACCACAGTTGTAGGGACGTGCTTGCACACAGTTGGACGACACCAGCCCTCAAACCTTCATCCAGCTGTGTGGAAGGGGCCCCAAGACACCAAGCTGTGTTACCAAGAGGGGATCTGAACCACATGCCACTGCTTCTCAAGACCCTGAGGCCCAATCTCAGACTCCTAAGAGTCCTGAGGGAGTCATCCTTATGCCCCCCAAACCCTTTCCTTCTTTAAGGGGGGTGAGTGAAGTGGCTCTTGGTGGGGTAGGTGGCCAACCTATCACTCTGCTACTGAGCTGAAATCATGACATGACATGGTATGCTGGCAAAATTTTCGTTCTTTCGGACACAAGATGAAAATCCCATTAGGATAGGCATGCCGTTTTCGCAAGCGGCAAATGAAAACAAAAACGGCACAAAAAGAGTGAAACAAAACAAAACAGAAAGCGATTCCATACAAATGCACAAGACTACTGTATAGCCAAGAATTCCCTGCAATTAAGACTGCCTTCTCCTAAGTGGCCTTGTATCTTGGAACACAATTTTGTGCAACCGTAATATATCGCTGAACAATTTTGAAACTTTACATTATAAAGAAAGCTCAAAGCAACTGACCCTTCCTTTAAAAACAGATTCAGAATAAAATTACTCATATCTCTAAAGTGGATTCCATTAATTAAATCAAGAAAAGGGTATCGCAATTCAGCAAAGGAACAATGCCTTCTGAACTGATTTAATTTCTATTTTAATTTGATATTGCATAACTTTAAACATAAAGATTGTATTATGTAGTTAATTGCAATCCTTCATTCCCAGCATATTATCCCTGATAAACACAAAGCGTTCCCAAACACAAAGTGCTTTAAAGAGTTTCTATTGCATGAAGGTGAGGTTCTGCAAACATTACAAGAGCAACCACCTACAAATCTTTCTCCAAATAAGAATACACATGGAAAAGAACACATGACTCACAACTTTCCCAGAACACTCATCTCAAGCATATGACAAGCTTTCAAACTGGTGTCAAGGAATAGAGAGGCTCATACATTTGTTGTGTAAGTCCTGCTTGTACGTTTTCCCACACCTTCATTTTGATCATGAGGGTGTGGAAATATATACCTTCGCCGTAGATAGTCCCTGTGACTCTTTAAATTGCTACTCAGCAAAATTATGATTTATTATGTTCAGTCATGGAGTATGATGCAAAAGATGGTATGCTCATTTAAAGTTGAAAGACATTTTGCTTTTGCTTTTCCATCTCTGACAGCAATATTCCTAATCCAGACAGCAGTTTCGATATTCATTTGTATACCTATTCCTTTTGTAGAAACAGTAGTGACCCATCACCCTTGTGTTACTTGCATCCGAGGTACATCA